TATCAACACTTATTGCATTAAGAGAGAAGACGAAGCACTCTTAATAAATAAATACAAATCAATGAACAAAATAATTCCCTGTTCATGAAAGGATTTTTATGTAGTGCCTGGGATTTTTCTCTTTTCTTAGTAAGTTTCTAGTGTTTTGTCACAAATGTAGACCCACTGCGACACTCGACTCTCTTGAACTTTTTGCATTAAAATGGTTGTTTCTATTAAATCCCTCCCTTCTATTCCCACCAATCCAGTGTCTGGAACAGGGGTGCCCAAACTTTTTAGTGATAGGGCCACTTTAGTTCACCAGACTAGTTTCATCGGGCTGTTCTGAGCTTTATGATGATCCATGACAGAGCTGAAGTTGGCTGAATGACGAACGTTTACTACTACATTAGCACCATTATCGGGAGAACAGGGTCTATATTGGCTGAGCTGAAGTTGGATGGATGACACTGTGAACTTTTGTTTATGATTTCAATGCCTACTTTGGGTTAGCAAGGCACAGGGCCACATAAAATGACACTGAGGACCGCAATTGGCTCCCGGGCCTGAGTTTGGACATGATTGGTCTATAATGTGTTCAATGTGTTCTGTGCCCTGTCTCCATAACTGAATAAACTAAATCAAAAGAGTGTATTTTGCAGAAACTTGAGCAACAATAAGATCTCGGAGATAGAGGACGGTGCGTTCGATGGAGCCTCGTCGGTGGTGGAGCTGCACCTCACAGCGAACCACCTGGAGTCTGTGAGAGGGGCCATGTTCCGAGGGGCCGACGGGCTGCGCATGCTGTGAGTGTTGGGTGCTTAATCATAGACTGATATAGAGGGACAATGCTAACACGCTAGCTCAATAGGGAAGTTCTTATGGATGATGTTTTGCTCCATATCGCACTGGCTTCTATTTAGGGTTGCAAAATTCTAGAATTTTTCAAAGATGGACATTTTGGGATTTTTTGGGAAATTCACAGAAATGTATGGGAATAAACTGTAAGTTTTCAAAATTGATGGTTGGCTCTTTGTAGGGAACTTAAAAAATGTTGAGGAAAGTATATTTTAGCATAGCCTGGTCGTACCACACCATAATCCTAATCCTTTCGTATTAAGGTCTGGAGGTGCTTCATTAAGCTCCATTAACAGGTGGGAGGGGTTAACTCCTTTTGTAGATTGAAACGATTGGATCTGCCCGTGACGTATGTAATGCACCGAGTGAGTTGTTAGCATTTAGCATTTAGCCTAGCCATCTCCTTTGCTGCTAACGGAGCCCGTGGGGAGTAGAGCCACAATCTTTGCCAGCGATCACAACTAAAACTACAACCTGCCCGTTCGGGGCAAACTCTTGACGTAACCCACATCTAACTACTACACCCGCCTCCCGCGCTCGCTGATTGGTTGGATGGATTTCAACCGATTGTAATCGCAAACACAGAGACCAGACCCAGACGTTAAATGCAGGAAATGATGATTGACCGGAGCGTACGGATGGATAAGGCCAGGATAATTTTAGCATAATCTTGACTTAAAACAAATTCAAATACACTGTCCATGTCACCCCTCAATAACAGATTACGCCCCCTACTGGCCCTGTGCCTCCATCACATTTCCAGGAGATTTGGCTGTTTTTCTACCCTAATATGTTTTAAAGCTCATTCCAAATTCTGTTTTGGTTCTTCCATGAAACAAATGAGTGTTCAATAGAAAAATTAAACTTGATTAATTATCTAAGGACTATCAATACATACTATTCAATTTGTGTGTGTGTGTGTTTTTCCAGTATGCTGAGGAACAATAAGATCAGCTGTATCCACAACGGCAGCTTCACAGGCCTCCCTCACGTTCGCCTCCTGTCTCTGTACGACAACCAGCTCAGCAACATCCTCCCGGGGGCTTTCGACGCTCTGCCCAACCTCTCCACTCTGTGAGAATAAAGACTTTTACTAATCATTCACACTTTCCAACACAATTCATTAAATCTGACTTCTGACCAGTGATGGGAATAACGGCGTTACTTTTTTCAGTAACGAGTAATCTAACTAATTACTTTGACTGTAACTATAACGCCGTTATCATTTCCGACATCCCGTTACTGCGCGTTACTCAAGACGCACAATGAACGGGTTGTCATGAGAGAAGGGAGGATGAGAAAACCTCTCAGCAATTATTGGCTGATGTAAAACATATTTCCTTTACAATCTACATGTCTACAGTTGAGAGGATGGCTCATAAATTGTGTTTTTTAAACAAATGAAACAAATTAATCGCGCTCAACCACGGCTTGTATCACCGTGAGGCCTCAGAGGAGCGCATGTGAGCGCAGAAGTCGGCTGCATACAATTCCATCGAAAAGCTCCTTTCTCTTCCTGGTTTATCTGCTAAGGACAGCAACAGGTTTGGCTAACATACATATAACACATTTTAAGATAATTTAAAATGCACTTAGGGTAATTTTTCAATGACTATAGGAATGATAAGAAAGAGAGGTGAAGTGGAAGAAGGTTAATTTTAGAAATTGGATGCACCCGGCTGCAGCTAGCAAAACAGAGGAGTTTATGGAGGACACACGCGTTTTGTTTTGCTTTTTAATACTCATTGGACTCATTTCCAAATGGAGGATTACATATCTACGCTCAAACTATTATCTGGACTTAAACACGGAACTGGTCTGAACCGAAGTGGCCTGTGCAGGTCATTTATAAGGTAAGACCCATAACTCATAGTTTTGCGTTTTGTATGAACAAACAATGCGGACATGAAACATATTCTGCTGTAGCCAAACAAACTGTGAATATGCCACTCTCTTGGTCCAGTTGATTTATATGATATATATGTTCATCTGATTGGGCTGAAGTCAGTGCTTCACCGGTGTTTCCACATTCACAGTGGCGGGTGTTGGTGTTTAGTGCTTACAGCACAGAGAGAGATGGAGAGTGAACAGGACTTAAGCAGCGAAACAGCCATTTCCAGATGGAAATATTGGAACTATTTCAATCTCACTGAGGTTAAAGGTTAAAGGTTAAAGGTAAAAATGCGCACGTCGAGTGCACATTATGTTCCAGAACAAAACGAAAAAGTAACGCAATAGTTACTTTTACTGGTAACTAGTTACTTTTATAGTGGAGTAACTCCGTTAGTAACTCAGTTACTTTTTGGGAGAAGTAACTATAACTAATTACTTTTTCAAAGTAACGTGCCCAACACTGCTTCTGACCCTCACCATAGTTACCAGGAAAGATTGCTCAGCTTCTCTACAATTAACATCACACAGATTAACCTCTCCTCAGATTCTCTTCATATCTGTGTAACATGTGTGAATACGATAATTAATTTGTTTTGAAATGTGGGGGAAGGGTTTGGCTGCAACACCAAAACCTCTGTACAAAGCATTGTGCATAATTTAAAGCTGGGGCTCCTGATTTAAAAAACAGTTTGGTTCCATCTCTAGTTTTCATGCATGCGAGTATTGGTATTAGTTCAGATTTTTTGGACAGAAGAGAGAAAAAGCAAGGCCTCTCACTCCAGCCAGCGCTCAGAAAAATAGTGAAAGAATTTTTGAGCAATTGAGCTATAGTCTTTGTACAAAAACTGTGTTACAAATACAATTATCCGTCTCCATCTCACTCACTCCTATCCAAGCGTCCACACCCTTACACGGCTATAAAACCTGTCTCCTGTCGCCATAGAAACCTGCTGGCGAATCCGTTTAAGTGCGACTGTCGGTTGTCGTGGTTCGGGGCGTGGCTTCGGAGCCGGAGAATTGTCACGGGCAACCCTCGCTGTCAGAGCCCCGCCTTCCTCCGCGAGATCCCCCTGCAGGACGTGGCGGCCCCGGATTTTAGATGTGAAGAAGGTAAATACGGTCTTAAACACACTCAGGATTGTTGTACTGAAGAATTTGAAATCTTTTTATTATAAATTGTATGTAGCTGGACGTACAGGTTACACACTCATTGTGAATAAGAGCAGTCCCTCGGCAAAATTTGTCCAAGTGGTCAGACCGGTTTGAGAGTAACCTGTGTGTGTTCAGGGTGGGTGGACGACAGCCTGTGTGGCCCCGGGCCCCTGTGTCCCGCTCACTGCACCTGTGTGGACACTGTGGTCCGCTGCAGCAACAAACACCTACAGACTCTGCCCCGCGGTCTGCCCCGAAACCTCACCGAGCTGTGAGTGACCGACGCCGCATACACCCACATGAGCTGTTGATATATAAATATACAGACAGAGAGACACAGACAGATAGATAGATAGATAGACTAATAGATAGATAGATAGATAGATAGATAGATATAGATATAAGGAAATACATTTTAGGTTACGTGAGACTACACAATCCTACACTTTTTTACTGTGAGGCCTGAGCTAAGAACATTATAACCAAGTTGAGTTGTGTGTGTGTTTGTGTGTGTGCTCTTATGTGTGTGTGTGTGTGTGTGCATGTGTGTGTGGCAGGTACCTGGATGGAAACCAGTTCACCAGTGTCCCCAAAGAGCTGGCGTCATTCAAGTATCTACAACTTGTGTGAGTCGCAGAAACACATCAGGAATTATCATAAAAAATATTATTGGTTTTTGTCTTAATTCTCTACATTATAACATTATATTAGCTACATGTATTCTCTCTTTATCTTTTTTCTGTATCTGAAAAATCAGGTCTGAAGATGTGATATAATATGTATGTGAAAACTGGTGAACAGGATTTTTTTCATAGTGTAAATCTTTGTGGTTTGAAAGTTACGTACATCAGCTTTAAATTTACTTACTTAAAAATATAGTGTGAGCAGGGTCACTTTTCCACAGATCTTACATAAAACGTTCTGCTTTTGTGCAACGGTTGTGTGCAGTAACACTTTCCTCCAGCAGAGGGCGCTGTAGACTGCGTTTCACACACCTGCCTCCTACAGACGGCTGGTCTCCGAGTTCACTTTTGTCACTTGTCAGAAGTGGGTTGAGGTGTAGAATTTGTACTGAATTAAGGGAAATCGAGAAGAATTAAACATGTTGCTCTAGTACACGTTACACAAAAGCTAATTCCAGCACTTTAGTGTCCCAGTCCCTGTGCTCCTCAGAGTCCCAGCAGGAGGCCAGTCCCTGTGCTCCTCAGAGTCCCAGCAGGAGGCCAGTCCCTGTGCTCCTCAAAGTCCCCAGCAGGAGGCCAGTCCCTGTGCTCCTCAGAGTCCCCAGTAGGAGGCCAGTCCCTGTGCTCCTCAGAGTCCCCAGTAGGAGGCCAGTCCCTGTGCTCCTCAGAGTCCCAGCAGGAGGCCAGTCCCTGTGCTCCTCAAAGTCCCCAGCAGGAGGCCAGTCCCTGTGCTCCTCAGAGTCCCAGCAGGAGGCCAGTCCCTGTGCTCCTCAAAGTCCCCAGCAGGAGGCCAGTCCCTGTGCTCCTCAGAGTCCCCAGCAGGAGGCCAGTCCCTGTGCTCCTCAAAGTCCCCAGTAGGAGGCCAGTCCCTGTGCTCCTCAGAGTCCCCAGCAGGAGGCCAGTCCCTGTGCTCCTCAAAGTCCCCAGTAGGAGGCCAGTCCCTGTGCTCCTCAGAGTCCCCAGCAGGAGGCCAGTCCCTGTGCTCCTCAGAGTCCCCAGTAGGAGGCCAGTCCCTGAGCTCCTCAGAGTTGGTTAAAATGTCACTAACATGTCACAGATGAGACTTGAACACATTCAGAGCTGCTTTAAAGTCTATTCTTTGAGCCACAGGACACATTTTAATTTACTGCAGTTAAAAACATGCAATAAGTGATTTAAATAGTTAAATGTTTCTGGGTTTTTTTGCAGAGACTTGAGCAACAACAAGATCAGCTCTCTGTCTGACGACTCCTTCTCCAACATGAGCCAGCTGACCACACTGTGAGCCTCAGCTTAGTATCAAACTTTACTTTGTCTCAATAAAAAGGACGCAAACCTTTTATTTTCATGTGTTTGTGTCTCAGGATCCTCAGTTACAACTCTCTCCGCTGCATCCCTCCTCAGGCTCTGGGCGGGCTGCGTTCACTCAGGCTGCTGTAAGACACACACACACACACGCACGCGCACGCACATGCGCACGCACACATACATGAACACGCACACATACGGACGCACGCACGCACACACACATACATGAACACGCACACATATACGCATGCACACACACATACGCATGCACGCACATACACATACATGAACACGCACACATATACGCATGCACACACACACACATACATGAACACGCACACATATACGCACGCACACACATACGCACGCACGCACACACACACACATGAACATGCACACATACGCACGCACACACACATACGCACGCACGCACACACACATACATGAACACACATACGCATGCACACACACACACACACACACATACATGAACACACATACTCATGCACACACACATATACGCATGCACACACACACACATACATGAACACACACACACACACGCATCTGTTCAATTGTGATGTGAAAGTCCCTATTTTGGTTTAAATAAAAACAATTAATAAACAAAAGAATAAATAGCAAACACTGACGCAGACATGACAGGTTTGGAGCTGGCTTTTAAAATTAAGATTAAGCTTCTATTTTTGTTCCACAGTTTGTTAAACAACATTTCAGTGCAAACAGTAGGAATGAGAAGCACACAAACTGAATTATAACAACATTTCTAACTTTAAAAATCTCCAAAATCTCTTCTTATATTTGGTCATACCCTAGAACTATCTTACATCACTTGTTACTTGTTGCCTGGTCACACACTCAAAGTTTTTTTTTTAAGTTGTTTCTCTCAAACCCGGGAATGATTTTTTTTCCTTTTCTATATCTTTCATACACAAATCTGGCTCAAAGGGGAATAAAATCATCTGTTTCTGAATTGGATCAGCTGGTCCGAGCGGCGCCTGCAGGGCCTTTGTTGTGACTTTTTACATTTCACATCGTCAAAAGCAGCTGAGAAGTCCAGTCCCTAAGCTCGATACTTAACACTTAATTGGCCTTTAGTCTCCTTATTTATAACACATTTTTTTCCTATTTAAAGCCTTTTTTGTGTAGTATTTTTATCCTTTCAGCTGCAGATCAAATAACTGACCGTGGTGTGTGCGTCCTCAGCTCTCTCCACGGCAACGAGATCTCGGAGCTGCAGAAAGGGATCTTCAGTGACGTGGCCTCGCTCTCTCATCTGTGAGTTTGTCCCCTCCAATATTTACACACACGTTCAGATGTAAAGAAAGTCTGCAGGACCCAAACAAAAACACGGGGAAAAAATGATCCGCAAAACTCATGTGAACTTGTTTTTTGTATCAACATTTCTCACATGCCTCTTGTTATTGATTACTCTAAGTGCAGATAGTAGATGAGCTTCTGGGTTTAACGCTGTCTAATGACCTGAAATGGGACAAAAACACTGGTAAAGCTCGTCAGCGTCTCCTCTTTATGCGGAGATATGAAAGTGGTCATTTCCATAATTTGATTCATAATTCCCTTTTCATTACCGTCAGTCATTGTTCACCTTTAATTTATCCTGCCCCTGTATCATGTATACTCTCTGTATGTTACTCTTTTGTCTGCACACACACACACAGACACACACACACACACACACACACACACACACACACACACGCACTCAGACACGCCAGTCATATTCAGTTTTCAGTGTCATTTCTGTTTATTTAGTCTTCAGTCACCACATTCAAAATAAATATTACGCATTGGTATACAGAAAGATACAGATACATGGAGGACCAAAGGTGTTTTAGGCCCAAGTATACATTTATTTTGTGACTTTTGTGTACCCCTACTTCTGTGGCTTCTTTGACTCTATCACAATATTGCATAATCCATATTCATCCTTCAACAAAAGTAAAAAATACCAGTTAGATTTTAACAGCCACGTTGTCATCACTGCTTTGTGTCTTTCTAAAATGCGCAAAGAGCTCCCTCTTGTGGCCAAACAACGTAACTCCATAATAGATAGAAAGCCTTTTAGTCATGACATAATTCAATCATATCAATGCTAAAAACAAAAGATCAAGCCAAAAGCCAAAAACCCAAACCGTAGCTATGTGTGTAAATAAGTGTAATGTGTGTGTGTGTGTGTGTGTGTGTGTGTGTGGGTGTGTGCGTGTATACAGTGGTGTAATGCGTGTCACCTGTTGTGGCCTTGTTGTTTCGCTGTTTGTTTTGTGTGTAATCATGCATGGTTTTTTTTACAACGCGCTTCTTATGCTCTGTGTGTTTACTCCAACGACATCATGTAACTGCTAGAATAACAAGATAGACTTTCATTTACATCTAGAAGAAAAGTCTCAGATTACTCTGGTCTCTCTCCGGTTTTTCTCTGGTCTCAATCTCGTGCCAATCCTGTTTCTCTCTTGGTCTCTCTTTCTCTGATCTACAGTATCTCCTGCCTCTCTCTCTGGCTTCTCCCTGGTCTCTCTCTGGCTTCTCTCTGGTCTCTCTCTGGTCTCTCTCTGGTCTCTCTCTGGTCTCTCTCTGGTCTCTCTCTGATCTCTCTGTTTGGTCTCTCTATGGTCTCTCCAGTCTCTCTCTAGTCTCTCCGGCCTTTCTCTGGTCTTTCTCTGTTCTCTCTCTCTCTGGTCTCTGGTCTATCCCTGTATTTTCCCTTGACTCTCTCCCTTGTCTCTATCTGCTCTCTCTCTGGTCTCTTCCTCTCTTGTCTCTCCCTCTGGTCTCTCTCTCTGGTTTCTTTCCCTCTGGTCTCTCCTTCTCTTTTCTCTCGCTCTGGTCTCTCTGGGGTCTCTCTCTGGTCTCTCTCTGGTCTCTCTCTGTTCTCTCTCTCTGGTCTCTCTCTGATCTCTCTCTCTGGTCTCTCTCTCTGTTCTCTCTCTCTGGTCTCTCTCTGTTCTCTCTCTCTCTGGTCTCTCTCTCTGGTCTCTCTCTCTGGTCTCTCTCTCTGTTCTCTCTCTCTGGTCTCTCTCTGGTCTCTCTCTCTGGTCTCTCTCTGTTCTCTCTCTCTGTTCTCTCTCTGGTCTCTCTCTGTTCTCTCTCTCTGGTCTCTCTCTGGTCTCTCTCTGTTCTCTCTCTCTGGTCTCTCTCTGGTCTCTCTCTGTTCTCTCTCTCTGGTCTCTCTCTGGTCTCTCTCTGTTCTCTCTCTGTTCTCTCTCTCTGGTCTCTCTCTGGTCTCTCTCTGATCTCTCTCTCTGTTCTCTCTCTGGTCTCTCTCTCTGGTCTCTCTCTGGTCTCTCTCTCTGGCCTCTCTCTGGTCTCTCTCTGTTCTCTCTCTCTGGTCTCTCTCTGGTCTCTCTCTGTTCTCTCTCTCTGGTCTCTCTCTGGTCTCTCTCTGTTCTCTCTCTGGTCTCTCTCTCTGGCCTCTCTCTGGTCTCTCTCTGTGGTCTCTCTCTCTGGTCTCTCTCTCTGAGTCTCTCTCTGGTCTCTCTCTGGCCTCTCTCTGGTCTCTCTCTGTTCTCTCTCTCTGGTCTCTCTCTGGTCTCTCTCTGGTCTCTCTCTGGCCTCTCTCTGGTCTCTCTCTGTTCTCTCTCTCTGGTCTCTCTCTGGTCTCTCTCTGTTCTCTCTCTCTGGTCTCTCTCTGGTCTCTCTCTGTTCTCTCTCTCTGGTCTCTCTCTGGTCTCTCTCTCTGGTCTCTCTCTGGTCTCTCTCTGGTCTCTCTCTCTGTTCTCTCTCTCTGGTCTCTCTCTGGTCTCTCTCTGTTCTCTCTCTCTGGTCTCTCTCTGGTCTCTCTCTGGTCTCTCTCTCTGGTCTCTCTCTGGTCTCTCTCTGGTCTCTCTCTCTGTTCTCTCTCTCTGGTCTCTCTCTGTTCTCTCTCTCTGGTCTCTCTCTGGTCTCTCTTTGAGGCCTGACCTGGTCTTGTATGTAGTCTCTGACCGCTGCTTGTTCTCTGTGCTCCAGTGCGATAGGGGCCAACCCTCTGTACTGCGACTGCCGCCTGCTGTGGCTGTCGGACTGGGTCAAGAGCGGCTACAAGGAGCCGGGTATCGCTCGCTGTGCCGGACCCAAGGGCATGGAGGGGAAACTGCTGCTGACCACTCCTGCCGACCAGTTCCAGTGCAACGGTGAGAACACAGAAGGTCATTCTGTCCTCTACTTTGTATTTACACTGAGAAGGACTTTAAGCACTTTGAGGTTTACTGGAAATGTAAGGTGCAATAGAAACTAGAAACTTGCAATGGCTGAAGCCATTGCGATTGACTGCGGAACAGATCTAATGTGGAAATCTGCTAAAAAAAATCCTTGAAATCCTTTAAAAAGCCTTGAAACTGTTAAAATACTTGATAGATATTTGAAACTCCTGAAGTCCTTGAAATTGTTGAAACCTTTAAACTCCTGAAATCCTTGAAACTGTTGAAACATTGAAACTCCTGAAATCCTTGAAACTTTTTTAAACCTGGAAACTGTTGAAAGTGTGGAAACTCCTGAAATCCTTGAACCTCCTGATATCCTTGAAACTGGTTAAATTCTTAAACAGCTGAAATCCTTGAAACTACTGAATGTATTGAAAGTGTCCTTGAAACTGAAAAATCCCCTCACCGCTGAAACAATTTGGTTCCTGTAACTAAGGAAACCTGGTCTGTGGTCATTATCTGGTGGTGGTCTGAGTCTTCGTTTGGGTCTTGGTCTGGTGGTATAATGCAACCTATTAGGTTGCATTATACATGAAAAAACCCTATTAAGTTGCATTATACTGGTTTACATGAAAAAAACCCTATTAAGTTGCATTATACTGGTTAACATGAAAAAAACCCTATTAAGTTGCATTATACTGGTTTACATGGAAAAATCCCTATTAAGTTGCATAATACTGGTTTACATGGAAAAATCCCTATTAAGTTGCATTATACTGGTTTACATGGAAAAATCCCTATTAAGTTGCATTATACTGGTTTACATGGAAAAATCCCTATTAAGTTGCATTATACTGGTTTACATGGAAAAATCCCTATTAAGTTGCATTATACTGGTTTACATGGAAAAATCCCTATTAGGTTGCATTATACTGGTTTACATGTACAAATCCCTATTAAGTTGCTTTATACTGGTTTACATGTAAAAACCCCTATTAGGTTACATTATAGTGGTTTACATGTAAAAATCCTTATTAAGTTGCATTATACTGGTTTACATGTAAAAACCCCTATTAAGTTCCATTATACTGGTTTACATGTAAAAACCCCTATTAAGTTCCATTATACTGGTTTACATGTAAAAACCCTATTAAGTTGCATTATACTGGTTTACATGAAAAAAACCCTATTAAGTTGCATTATACTGGTTTACATGGAAAAATCCCTATTAAGTTGCATAATACTGGTTTACATGGAAAAATCCCCATTAAGTTGCATTATACTGGTTTACATGGAAAAATCCCTATTAAGTTGCATTATACTGGTTTACATGGAAAAATCCCTATTAAGTTGCATAATACTGGTTTACATGGAAAAATCCCCATTAAGTTGCATTATACTGGTTTACATGGAAAAATCCCCATTAAGTTGCATTATACTGGTTTACATGGAAAAATCCCTATTAAGTTGCATTGTACTGGTTTACATGGAAAAAACCCTATTAAGTTGCATTATACTGGTTTACATGGAAAAAACCCTATTAAGTTGCATTATACTGGTTTACATGTAAAAACCCCTATTAAGTTGCATTATACTGGTTTACATGGAAAAATCCCCATTAAGTTGCATTATATGGTTTACATGAAAAAAAACCCTATTAAGTTGCATTATACTGGTTTACATGAAAAAACCCTATTAAGTTGCATTATACTGGTTTACATGGAAAAATCCCTATTAAGTTGCATTATACTGGTTTACATGGAAAAATCCCTATTAGGTTGCATGATTACACTGAAGTCCTTGAAACTGCTGAAGTCCTTGAAACTGCTGAAGTCCTTGAAACTGTTGAAGTCCTTGAAACTCTTGAAATCTTGAAACTGCTGAAATCCTTGAAACTGTTGAATCCTTGAAACTGTTGAATCATTGAAACTGTTGAATCATTGAAACTGTAGAAATGTCTGAAAGAGCTGAAGTCCTATTAAAATGCATGGGCCTATTAAAATGCATTGCAGAATTCTCAATGCAGATTTTTGTCCGATTGCGGAAAAACCGGAAATCGCTGAAGTCCCAAAAGTAATAGCAATAATCTCCCAAACATGTGGAACGTTTTGATGTATAACTTGTGGAAATTGTTGAAAATGTGAAAGCTGTGAAACGTGTCAAAAAAAATGACGGAATAAAGAAATACAAAACCAATGGTTGACTGCGGAAGGTTCCGCAGTCAATCAATAAAATGTATTCTATAGATTACTGGTTCTGGACTGGCCTGGGACTGGTCCTGCACTGGTTCTGGACTAGTTTTGGTTCTAGATTAGTTCTGGTTCTGGACTTGTTCAGGCCCTGGACTGGTGCTGGCTCTGGACTGGTTATAGATATTGACTGGTTCTGGTCTTTGACTGGTTCTGGTTCTGGGCATGGACTGGGTCTGGTTCTGGGCTGGTTCTGGGCTGGTTCTGGGCTGATTCTGGGCTGGTTCTGGTTCTGGACTGTTTCTTGTCTTGGACTGTTTCTGGACTAATTCTGTTCCTGGATTGGTTCTGGTTCTTGTCCTGGACTAATTCTGGTCCTGGATTGGTTCTGGTTCTTGTCCTGGACTAATTCTGGTCCTGGATTGGTTCTGGTTCTTGTCCTGGACTAGTTCTGGTCCTTGATTGTTTCTGGTTCTAAGACAACTTTTGGTTCTAGTCCTGGACTGGTTCTGGTTCATCTTGGTTTTCCACCAGACAAGAGCCAGTTACCATAGCAACACACTTGCCAGCAGTTGCACTTGGTATTTTGCATTAGCCTCTTCAACAAAACCAATTCGAACACTAAAAAATCTTTATCAAGAACATACTTTTATTAAATCTGGTGAATTTCTTCTTGTTGTTGTCAAAACGGCGGCTCTGGGAGTTTTAATAATTTCAGAATTGTAGAAGTCCTTTTGTTAAGAGTTGTTGGCATTAGCTTAGCATAGTTTAGCTTAGCATATTTTAGCTTAGCACAGTTGAAGTTGGAGTACCAAACATTGAAAATTTGTCACTTAAAAAAAATTGAATACAATCCATTTACTGGTTCCTCGCTCTCTGAAAACAGTTTGGTTTTATTTCTAGTTTTCACATGTTTTTATAAGATAAAGACATTATGTTGTGGTCTGATTTGTTCCTCACATTTTCTTATTTGTTTTAAAAATGTTATTTATTTTTCTGCAGTGACAAATAAAATGCCGTAAACAAATTAGGTCCACCACCTTTAATAGTGCTAAACAAAACAGCTGTTAGCGTGACTTTAGCATAACATTAGCATGACATTAGCATGATGGTAGCTTATTAACCACTTTTTCTAGTTATGTGTTGAACAAAACAAAACACAAAATCTTTCCTTCAGTAAAAAAACAAAGCAGACGTGAGATATAACAAGTCTTTATCAGTTATAATGTTGATAATTGGCTCACAGCTGTAAAAACATCTTAGAAAATTAGAATATTTTTAATGTAGACTTTAAGCCACATTAAAACACACAAATCCTCGGTTTATGTCACTTTGCATATAATTAGTCTTTATCATATTTTCACATTTTTAATTGATTTACAGAGAATTTTCTTAGTTGTGTAGTCAATAGTTAAAAGTTATCCCTCACTTCTCTTACTTTTTCCGCTTGAATAACACATTTATCTTTTTGCCATACGTATAAGAAAGAGCCGTGTGAGTCACTATTTGACTCTTTGGCTGAGTGAAAGTGGTTCTCTTTTTCACTTTTGTGTCTGAAAATTTTGGTCTTAAGACGCTAAAAATTACAGGCATATAAAGGACTATAGTCTTTTTTTGAAACATAGGACCCCAGCTTAAAGGAGCAGAATGTAAAAATCTGGCCAAAAGTGGTACTGCACTCTCCCTGACTCAGGTTGCCAGATATGCAGACGAATCCAGCTGGGACCATAATATCTGAATAAAGAGTTTTGTCAACAACAAATCTATAACCAACACCTTTTTCACAAATATAGAAATCTTAGTTTTATTCCTTGTTTTGTCGTTAATGATTTGGGAATCATACAAGACCTTTTTTAGTTCTGCGCCACATGGTACTTTACCAGTGAGATTAGCTCGACGCGGTGAGTTCTGGCAACCTGGATCACAGACTTTCTGATTGGGGAAACGGTGGAGGGCGGGACATCACAATGAAAACAATAACAAGATTTAGGGGCTGTAAATCTCTTTTTAAAATCCAAATATCTCTGAACTACTGTTATTATATAAGGATCGTGTGTAATGTGTACTACAGACATCCCTCAAATCAATTGTTCATAGAAACCAAACAACTTAAACTACATGACTTGGTTAGCCTAAGAACTGCTCAGATAATGTTCAGGGCATCTGAAAGCTCCCTGCCAGCCAATTTACAAAACCTTTTTCATGTCAGAGACGCCCATCACAGGTACAGGCTTAGAGGAAACAAACAACTATATGTCCCTAAAGTGAGAACGACATTGAAATCTATGTGTATCTCTACCAGAGGAGTGAAGATCTGGAATGATTTACCAGAGGCATTAAAATCATGCTCCAACATGATTAAGTTTAAGATACATTTCAAAAAACAAATACTGCGCAGAAGAAGGAGCATGATTCCCTGAGCAGTACCTGAGCATTGAGCAAGTGGTGTGTGGTCGGAGAACGTTTGGGGCCAGTGTCTGAGTGAGTGACTGAGTCTTGTCCTGTCTGGTCTTGAATTATTATTATATGCCCTAGTTTACTTTACTGGTGGGGGTAGCTTAAGTGATATAGATTTGTTTTTTGTTTTGTTTGTTTTTGTTTGTTTTCTTTTGTTTAGATTTTTTGCATTGTGGTTGTGTTGGGGAGATTGTGTGAGAGGTGGTTGGATATGATAAACTTTTGCTTCTGCCAACCTCCTTTTCAAACTATGCATATACCTTACTAGAGAAAGTGTTTTAAACAATGTGTGTGCAAGTTTGAAATAGATAAATTGATTGATTGATCAGTTAAAGAAGTATTGGA